AATATATTAAATTTCTTTATATTGGTAAAAGAAATATTATGTCCAGCTTGGTGTTTCTATTGCATTGATTTCAAATGGATTTTAATATAAATGGATATGAGATGAGCGTAGTTTTGCAGCACAAATATTGCGCAGCATGAAAAAAAATTAAATATTTCACAATTTCTTTAGCTTTAAATCAACAAAGCTCTTTTTGTGTTCCTCAAATTGATGTAAGCAATTTATTGGGTTTTGAAATTTTTGCTGCTAAATGGTGGAAATTTTTAATTTGCTAAAATTGCCGTCATTAACTGCTCTGCTTGGTAAAAATCTATAGTCGCTGGTATTAGGCTCTATTGTTGTTGTAGCTGTGATTTTCTTGTTGCAAATTGGATTTTACATTTAATTTTCTCATTACAAAAATTTTGTTTTTTTTTTGTAATTGTTAAATGTTTTAATGCTGTTGTAATAATTGGTAGTAGTAATTCGTCGTCGTTGTTTTTTATTTAACAAAAAAAATTCGCTGAAATAGCGGACAAAGGCCGTTTCTTTGCGTTTTTAATATTAATTTCATTAGCTACCGCTCCATTTTCCACACGCAAACTTCGATGATGAACTCCGACTAAATTCAATACGAAGATACGATTCGTTAAAACAACGAGCAGACACAAATGCAAAGTGATGCCAGATGTAAAGATATGTTTGACCATTTCGTAAATATATGTGAGATTACAATATTTATGACCCGATCAATTTTTAGTCCAAGTAGGTGCTTAAGATAGCTATTTTGATTAAATGCAGTAAACGAAACACAAATGTTTGATTGTAGGTTCAATTAAATTATTGTCGTTTATATTTCTCATGTTTTAAAACAAATTATGTTATTTGTTGATACATTTGTGTACATGTGGAGAAAAAGCACAATAACACGTTTTAAGGGCTTAATAGACATATATAGCGAACAAATATATCAACTTTGTGTACATGTGGAGAAAAAAACACAATCAGGGCTTTTAATAAAGCCCTTAGGCTTAATAAACATATGTGGCGAACGCATTAACAACTGCAACGCCATCTCGTGTGTCGAACAAACAAAAACAACAGCCAATGGCCGTAATTTTTTCTTTCAGAATAGCAAAAAAATAGTCACAACTTACGTCATTTAATTATATATATAGTAAGTGTTATTCGATATGCGAAATATTAAAATCAGTTTTGCAGTCTTTCAAGTGTTATGTTTTGGTAAATATCAAATCTTATATATATGCACATAATGTGATTTTTTCCGAATTTTCATATATATGAAATTTTTGAATTTTGTTTCAATTTTTGTTTACATATGATTGCAATATTTGTTGGAATTTTGAATGAATGTTTCCAATAGTTCGCTTAAGCATGATATAGACGATGAAACATGTTTGCAAACCAATTATGCAATCGGAGTATGCGTTTTGCTATACACTTTGAAACAAGGTTTGCATACTTCATTTTGATTTATTTTCTACAGCGTTCATATCAACAGTGGAGCAAGTACATAGTGCAAAACAATAATCGAAACTTGTAATGAACCTTACCGCCGAACCTTTCGCTCGCCGGATCCCAGAGTCATTACAAGAATATTTTTTTGTGACCCTGAATCTCCTCGTAATACAATAAGTTTGGACACTTGATAATTTTTTTATACTTATTTTTTTTATTGTATATTTTCTTTATTTTACAATATCTTATAATTTAACTTATTTACTAACAAAATTTATTATAGTTACAAATATTGAGTGTTTTTATAATTCCTGATCCGCATACCATTAATTTTTTTTTTACATGTTCTAAAGTGGCATCTAGAAAATCTTCTTTGTATTTTAGCAATAACTTATTCCAAACTTGCGATTTCAAATATTTATTTTTATACGGGTACTTTTAACTTCCCACAAGCACCGTTCGCTTTTGTATTCTTCAATTAATTCTTTATAAATATTATTATGGGGAATAGCCATATTAATATTTTATTCACACACAAAATAATTGTTTTTAACACTTTTTTTCCAATTTTACTTTTTTTATTATTTAAAAATTTTTCCCGCGTTTTTTACACATCCAATACCACCAAAATTGTTAAATAATAAATCTGTAGATTTCGATATTTCACTTTTTTTATTATTATATAATTTTTTCTCGAGTTTTTTGCACATCCGACGTTCACCAAAATTTTCAAATTATGAGAAATTTGCAAACTTCGATATATACAAGCAAATATGTTTGCACACTTAACAAATAATTGAAAATTTTTAATTTCACCGCAAACTTGTTGCAGACCGAAATTTGGTTTGCAAACTTGAATATAGAATATAAACTTGAATATAGAATATAAACTTGAATATTGAAACAAAATTTATAAGACGCAAAAAAGGTCGATATGGTAGCAACACTTTTTAAGGTTACTTGGCAAACAAGTATTACCATATACATATTTTCAATTAATTTTATTTTTTAGCATAAATAATTTTACATTCTGGAAACATTCTTAAAACAGTACTGTACTGTGCTGTATAGTACTAAGTAAAATTTATCTTGGTAAGATATTTTAAATTAAATTTTTAATTACTTTATATAAGTTAATTCTACTGACACTTAATGTCATAAATACGTAATATTAACTTAAGCAAAGGTTGCAGCAGTCGCCAACGGAATTCAAATTATTCTAAATAGTATGCAGGTGCTACCATAATCATTGCCCTTACCTGTTGCAAGTGCAACGTGCATTACAGACGATTATATTTATATATGAGCAACAATTCCTGTTGATACTGAATTTTCTATTACTAATTTAGACTATAGGAATCGATGCAAGATTTTGTTCAGTGCAGTTACTAATCGAGGTTGGAATAAACAGTTCGGAGTATTCCGAAAAACCAAATATCGAGCATAACTCATTCATTTATATATTGGCTTACAGACCAAAATTTCTAACTACGAAGCTATCGTTTCAGTAGTGAAATATTTTCTAAAACTCCAAAATCATAATTATTTTTTTTCCGTTATTTGCAAGAAACTGTGATTTTATTACCCGCAAAAGCTCTTTACTGCCTTCAAAATCACACTTTGTGTCTTCAAAGTATATATTATTATACATCAAATTAAAGCTGAATCTTGTACAAAAATTCTAAGGTTCATAATGTCGAACTCGCTTAATTGTTTGTCTAATATGCTATAAAATGACTGATATACAACCAAATAATTCGACTGTCACTTCTATATGGATGTGTAGCGTTCAGCAAGGCTTCAAACACTACTATTCACCAGCTAAAAATTGCACAAAGCCAGGCTCTGAGAAAACTTTTCAAGATGACATGGTACATTAGGACGAATGACCTGCTGAAACGAAGCATGGAATTAAGGGAATTTTCAAATACAACTATGTAAAAGACAAATTTTAAGCAAAAGATAAAGTGGAGATAACGAAAAAGTGACATGTATTTTTCAAAACAGCTGACTTTAATAAAACCGGGAAAATATTTTGAAACTTATGTAAAAAAAATAATTGGTGACTTTAAATGAGAAAACATCAAACAACTTCAAATGGAAAATATTAATGGTAAATAAATATTAAAACATAAGTTTTTTACTCAATCTGTTATTTATTTGTTATTTTTATCATGCTGTTTAACGGTTTTTTCAATATTTTAGATGCAAACTTTCATGAGGATTACCTGGAGAAGGAAATGGTAATGTCATCATCCCCTATGTTAAACTGGAATCGGTAACGATGTCGTCAGAAATTAAATGCATTCCTACACGAATCAATTCTTTTTGCTGGTGATGTTGGTCGAAAGAAAGAACAGTGCATCGGTGATTTAGGCGGACCATTACTGGATGACACCAATATACAAATAGGTATAGTTTCATGGAGTCTCAAACTATGTGCCATGAAACCAGGAGTATTCACAAGTGTTAAACATTATTTACCATTAATTTATGAGACAATTAATAG